GGGTTTAGGATTTGGGATTTAGGGTTTAGGGTTTAGGATTTATGATTTAGGATTTAGGGTTTAGGGTTCAGGATTTAGGGAAGTTAGGGTTTAGGGTTTAGGATGTCTCATCTGGCTAGCCCCAAGCCCAGTTGCAAGAAGGGTGTGAGACATGATTGTGGATGATAGGGTGGGGAGTTTCAGAGGCTCGTCTCAGATGGAACTAGGAAGGTTGGTTCTTTGCTCTTGTGGTGTAAGGATTGATTGTGCCTGCTCCGGGGGTAGCTGTCAAACCAGCATGTGCTGTGGGTTGGTTTCTTGTTCCTGGCTTCTCAGATGCTGATTTTGACAGCGGGTTTGCGCTTGAAGAATCGACCGAGTCAACATGGTAACGATGGACCCAGTATCTCTGCACACCTTGCCACGCCTGTCCGACTGTGAGAGCGAGAAGCAAGAGATGTGCGGTTCGGGTTCAGTAGTGCCAAAGCCGTATTCTTGGTCGTTACACTCGCCAACGCCGTGCTGATGCTGATGCTGGGGTGGCTGAGGATGCAGCTGAGGACGATGATGCTACTCGTGATGGTGATGGCAATGATGATTGCGGTGGCGATGGTGCCGACCATGCTGATGTTTGTAGATGATGGGTGTGATGTTGAATTTCCTGTCGTCTGCGATGGGGTCATGCTGATAATTTTGACGATGATGACGACGCTGGTGATGAGGGTGACGATGATGGTGGTTGGCACTGGACATGTCGTTGATGCATGAACATGATGCGGTTAGGACTAGGATGCTGGCATTGATGCTGATAATTCGATGCCGAGGATGATGCTAATGCTGCTGACGGTTGTGTCAGCGGCCGGTGGTCGTTCGTTGGAATCCATCAGCCGATGTGTTCTACTCCACCCAGATCTCCAACATGTTATCCAAGCTTGCCCCAGGTTCAAGTTCATGTGCGCGTACATTGGATGGGGCGAGGAAGAAGCCAGCGTCATGGATCCTCGGCGTTGGCTTGCCAATTCGTGAGAAGATGCACCCAGAAAGATAACCAGTTCGACCGAACGGGGCACGTCGTGATGATTAGTTAGAGGTCGGACAACGGCTACAAATGAGGCAAACAGTTGGGACCACAAGGCCAGAGACAAGAGATGGCTGTGGATGCAGCAGCCGTAGATGTCTGAGTACAGTAGGACAACCTCCTGTGCTCTCGTTTTCATCTTGTTATCTGTTGTTGCCACCTAAGCGATCCGTGTGCTGCTTCGTGCAGGCAGAGACTCGTATGCCACTCTTGCTCCCGATTTCGGGCTCGCCCCCCCTCCACCCACAAGATCCCACACAGGATTTGGACAACGACAGCAAAGTGACGCTGGACGAGTTCCAGCGATTCGTGGGGCACATGGGTGGCCTGCAACAGCTTTTCCAACAGCGTCGCCAGCGTGCTGCTTGGCGGGATGCTAAATGAGCTGGGGTGCCAAGCGCTGAGCGAATCAGCCTTTCTGCAACACTGCAATGGCTCGCTTCGACCAGGCCGTGTCCAAGTGTTGAATGTTGCAGTGCTGCCGGGACCTAGGTGGCTCGGAAGCAATGGGGCGTGGAAGCTCCTGCCATCATTGAGGCCACCTGTTCTGGTGTCACCGCTGTGCAATGATCTGCCACGCTGTTGCCAGGTCGGCGCCCGTGTCCAGGCGGGGCGCAATGTGGACCAGTCCAGTCAGGAGGGTTGTCATCTGGGCCTAGGCTGCGGTGTGGGTTTTGAGCAAAGTGGTGTTATGAGTGATGCAGGGTAGAGTGAAAAAGACACCCCGTAGGCCTCAAAACGGTTTACTGCAGAAAGGCATACGAACGCATAGGTGTGTACGTATCCCAAGAATAGACCTCGCCGCAGGCATACCACCACACGGAGGAGCGGAGGTAGAGGGAAGCTTCCGCTTTGGCAAGTTGGCAAGTTCTCTTGGCTTTCCGGCAGGGCCATTGAAGAAGCAAGAGCCCTACCGTAGGGGCCTTAATCATTACCTATACTTTTTTGGGGGCTTATTGTAGTATACTGGGCCTCTATAGCCCTATTCTAATTATCAAGGCCCCTACATTGCCCGAAGCCTCGTAGGACGGGCAGAAGTCGGCGAACTTGAGGGAGGCCCAGGTTCTCGAGCTCAATGTCATGCCCAGCAACGGTGCCCGAAGCTCAGACTATTCTTCGGGGTCCGGTGTTCAGGACCTGCAGAAATGTCCCATGCAGACCTTAAGACATGTTCCTGATCGTGAGCATGCGACACCTACCGTCGATTAGTTAGCTTGCTCTGTCATCCGAGGTGAGGCGGCCTGGATGCATTGCACAGTGGCAATAGCAGGACATTTCTTGATCAGCACCCGGCAATTCAACCCCACAGTGCGGGCTAAGTTTTCTATCCAGCCCCTCATAATAAGGCTTGTCTTCGGCTTCGGAGAAGGCCGAGATGCTCGTCAAGAGCGGCAGGCCTTCGATCATGAGCGGGTTGGTCTTCACCATGACATGACATGTTTCTTTTGTTTGTCGCTCTCATCCTTGTCTGACTGCTGACCACTCTTTTTGTTCCTGCTTCCATTGATTGCCGAAGCTCTGCACGAGGTCGCGTAGACGGGCAGGCAACGGCACAACCACACTGTCTGTCTAACCATCGCCCCACCTCAGAATTTGCCTGTGCCAGTCTTTTCGCCAGGTTCAAAGCCGTGAACTCGGTTTCGTGATTAGAACCGACCAAGCCAACGGCGAAGAAGCGGTTTGACATCGTAGAGTGGCAGCAAACGCAATCGCAGTACATAGAGGCGCTGAAACACTCGTCGTTGTAAAAGCGGTTAAAAGCAGCAGGCCGCGGTAGTCGTGATGATGGCACCAGAAGCAGTACTGGTAGTTACACAAGAAGGAAGCACCGTTGTAGTTGTGATAGCACAGGTTGCCATCATAGCCAGTAGTTTGCTTTGACACCCGATGCGCACCACCGCATCTGCTCAAGACATTTGCGTACTAAATGACTCTGGCAGCCGTTGCTTCCACAGCGACCATTGCCTGCCCTCTGGAGGTGGTTCCGCCAAACTGGATCTTCAGTGATACACGTGACAGCTTCGTGGCTTAAGTGGATCCGCAGTCTGGAAGCAAGCCCCAAGAAGGGTTGGCATCGGATATCTTTCTGATGGAAGGCGGCAGCACAATGGCACAGACTGAAAGCTGAATCTCATGCCAGCCAGTACGGGGCCTCAACCCACTCAACCGATACTGGGACGCTTTCCTTTGCATAGTTTATCGGATGCCAAGCCAATCTCTCAAATTAGCATGCTCTGCCTAGCTCATGCGGCGTCCTAAGGTGACGTGGTGGCAGCCTTGCGCGAGGTAGGAATTCTTGAGGTGCATTGGCCCGGAGCAAACCTGACTTTGTGGGTTCGTGATGAAAGTCGCCAGCTGCCAGCTCAAACGATGACAGTTACTGACAGTTTTCCAGGGCAAACCCACTTCCGGAATCACGCATTGCACACTGGTATGATACAAAGTCGGCACAGCTTCACCTCTTACTTGATTTTCATCGGTAAACTAGTTGTGCGTGGTTTGTGTTGTCGGCTCTTAACTTAAAATGATGGTTTATACTCTTTAGTCATTAAAATTATGGTTTATACTCTTTAGTTATCGATGCAGGAACAGCAGGGCTTCTGGGCGTCGATCTTCCCAGAGTCGGAGATGCGCGCAGTGCAGCGCCTGACGTCTTGCCAGCCTCCCGGCAGCACTGCCAGGCTCATGGAGATTTTTTGCAGCCATGTTTAGAGTTTGGTTTAGAAGTTTAGGGGTTTAGGGTTTTAGGTGCTGTAGCCGGGCTGCTGGACAACGAAGCCTGCTGCAAAAAGGGTTTAGGGGTTTCGGGATTTAGGGGTCACACGCATCGGCCTCAGTACGGGTTCAAAAAAGGGTTTAGACAAGCCCACGCTGAAAAGGGTTAGCCTTCACCGAGGCGTGCGGCCCTGGCCAACGTTCGCGCCAATGCAGCGCTCAATCATGCGTCCTGTCTGAGCGTCAGAAGATGTTGGTCTTGAGGGTTTGTTAGGGTGAGGAAGAGACAGGGTGTGGTTAATACGAAGACTAGGACTACTACTAATATACTAATCCAATACTAGTACTGTAACACTATGACACTCTTTGACTGTACCGCTGTAATGCTACAATGCTATAACACTACAAAGGGTTCATCGCCGATCTTTGTAGATGGGCCCTGGCCAGGACAAGGCACTCCCCGAAGTGAGGGAGCGCTTTACGAGGCTGGGTGCAATGGAGCCGAGGGTTTAGCAAAAAAGGGGTTTGCTGGACAACGAGGCCTGCTGCAAAAAGGGGTTTAGGGTTAAGAGCAGCGGAGGGCAGTGCTGGCAGTCATCAAGTCCGGTTTCAAAAAAGGGGTTTAGGGTTTAGGGGTTTAGGGTGTAGGATTTAGGGGTTTAGGGTTTGCGGTTTGCAGGGTTTAAGTGCTCAAACCGAAGTACTCAGTGAGTTGAGCAAGGAGCTTCCATTTCAAGCCGGTTTCTCAGAGTGCTATCCTTGCTGTGGATGGGGGGAGTGCGTGTTTGGCCAGACTAGATCGGGCTGCTGGACATCGAGGCCTTTTGCAAGAAGGGGACTTGAGTCCAGTAACAAAACAGGGGTTGCAGGCCTTGGGTTTAAGTTTTGCAGGGCCGAGGTGACGTCATGAAGCGTCGCTCATATCCCAACATATGCATACATAGAATTATATGGCTAGGAATGAATATACAGGTTAACAGCAAGAGATCAGGTATGTCTGTGTCCTGCAGACAGGCACAGTTGTATAAACCAAGTATGTCATAAAGGAATGCAACTGCAAACGCATAAGCAGCTGAATGACATAGCTTATGTCTATCTAGCTATCTCTCTCTCTCTATATATATATATATATATATATTGTTATATATATATATGCATGCACACACACAGATATACATATGTCTATACATATACACACCTATATAGTGTACGCTTGTCGGTAACATGTGAAGGAGGTCGCCATAGATATGGACACGCATACGTGCGTGCTCATGCGTGTCCGCGAATGCAGGCTTGGCTACGGCGAGGCAGAGCTGCAGGGCGTGCTGGGCTGGATCCAGGACCTGGCTCCCATGTGCGTCCACATCCACATTGGGACCGTCGGACGGCCCTTGGCCTAGAACCTAGAATAGAAGCTTGGGGTTTTGGCCTTCGTAGTTAAGAAGGCAGTTTTTCCAAAAATGGACGACAAAGTGATCTCTTGTGTTTGGCCTACTTGAACGACCCCAGGTTCTTGGAGACCGACGAGTATTACCGGAGCCAGTTTGAGACAGGAACCTCTTGTGGTGCTTTAGATGACAAGAACCAGATCCGCATAGGCTGGGAGACGGAGCTTTTCGGTGGCGCCTACGATGAAGCAAAGCCTTTCGAGCGATGTAAGTACGGAGCGCTTGGGGTGATGAACGACTACAGAGGCATCACATCGGCCTACCAGTATGGTGACTCCTATCTGGTTTTGAAGGATGTCCGGCTCCGTGCCACCTTTGCGGCAACGGACTCCGGGGGTATCGCAGGATCGAGACTGGCAGTGTTAGACAAGTATGCCCACGTCCTGAAAGAGTACAATGACAATGAACTCCATCGGCTCATTGAGGTGGCTATGGCAAATACGTCCCTGGACGATGTGCCTCGGATTCAGCCTCAGCTGCTGCGTGGCCTGACGGCGGATACCACGAACGAGTGGGTCACCATGGGCTTCCCTGACCTCCCTCAAAAGAAGGGCCGCTACTACTTCGAGATTGAGCTCATCCGAGGGTGCCAGTCCCCACAGGTAGGGCGGCTTCTCAAGCTCAGCTAGGCTAAACACTGGACCACAAGTCCCAAACCATCCCAAAGCGTAAATCTTCCTCGACAGAGGTGGGCTTGCTCTCCAGCCGCTTCGAGCTCGCCCCTCGCACCAAGGGCCAGCATCTCTACGGCGTGGGGGATGATGCACACGGATGGGCGGTGGACGGGCAGCAGCTCTGCGGCAAGCGTCTTGAAATTGCGGCTTGAGGGACTTAAAGTGACATCCTGCATGGTTGAGAATGCCTGCATGTTTGGTCACTTCTACAAGTGTTACGGCTTAGCAGTTTTCGCATAGTTGGTTCCTTGCACACACTTTACATGTTTGTTTTTCTTGCAAATGGTCAGAACCACTAGAAGAAGAATGACTGCAGCATCGAGATTTGAAAGTCGACCTCCGTTTCAGCTTGGATCAGATGAGCGCGGCTTCGGTCAACTTTGGGCTCCGATGCCCCAGTTTATCTGACTATACAAGGCAAACCCAGAATTCGAATAGCCAGAAAAGCACCTCTGGACGGCCCAGGCATTCCATCCTGTGGCATGATGGGAAGAAGCTGGCCTGGAGTAGAACTTGGGGCCAAAGTGGCAACGGCGCCTCCCGTCAGCTCGCGCAGAGCCTTGGGTACTTGAGGAATGCTATTGCATGTGTAGACCTACATACATACATACATACACGCGTATGTAGATACGTGGATGGTCTCGGTAAATGGTTATATCAGAACTTATGCTTTTGTATCTGCAAGAGTTCAGTCTCTCTCTCTCTCTCTCTCTCTCTCTTTTTTCTCTCCGTCTCTCTCTTTTGTTATCGATGCGTGGTTCTAAAAACGTTGTTCTGCGTGGCGATTTTCGCTGTGTTGCTAGCTTTTCTCATATGCGAGCACAAGCTAAGACAAGTCTGTAAAGGTACAGGGTATCATGCCTTGTTGCGAGATGTTGTTTCATGCCTTATTTATCGCTGTCCTCAACAACATATACCCTCGAAGTCGCACTTCCATGCACGGTCCCCCTCAAGCTGATTACAAGCTCGTCGGTTCAAGGGTTGAGGAGACCACGCTCGATGAAGAAGAAGATGCGGAAAAATGCCACGTTCGACTGATGGTGTGCTAGCTGCTAGAGTTGACAAACCCGCACAGGTCCGTTTGCTTCACTTTTTGCATTACATCGTTATTGCAACATATTGCACCGGCCCACCCATTGATTTTGGTGCCTGTGGCTGGAGTACGATCATGCCGCTGTTTGTTCCTGCTTGCCTTTGGCGTGCCAGCTTGACTAGACCTAGTTTTTCTTGCGTTTTGACCACTTGGGCGACTGAAGACCGCCTGCCGGCGATGTCCTGTGATCCCCGATCTTCGCGTTTTCTGGGTATGAAGCGAACCCACAGCAGTGGAGCTCCTTCTGAATTGGTTTCATGTTAGTGAAACCCTAACTAAAGCAGTGAACAACAAGCTTTCACAAGGAACAAATATACGAACGAATACTAATCTGAAGCTATTTGTCACCAAACCGAAAGCGCATAGATCTAGAAAGGCATACACGCACCTGGCCACACGAACACACAATCTCTCACACGCACATTCACAGAGAATCACGCGATCTTGCAAGCACCCACGCGGCGTACACATCTCTGTGGGTGTGAAGCCAGTTAACTTCGCCCATGCCCAGTTATTTGGCCGAACCCATCTGAGTGCACGCATTTTGGAGAGCTGTACCAGTAAACCTGAAGACTGGCCGAGGAATGTCGTCGTCGGCATAGCAGTGGACATCGACGCTGGAAAGATTTGGTTCGGCAGCGAAGCTCGGCCCTCACAGTGGGGAGAGAAGCATATGTCGACCAACCCGGAGCTCTCCATGAGCAGCATTGCCCAAAAGAACTGATCACAAGGGACCGTGCGTTCCCCCATGATTTGGGTGTTGCAAACATGGCAAAGCAAGAGATGTCTCCTATCTCGGGGGTGGGTTTGAGCGGGCACATCAACTGCAATCATTGAGACAGCTTGCCGCTTCTTTCAGTGAGGACGACTGAGGGTTTGCGGTCTGCCTGTGGTTGACAACGCCGGTGATTTTGACAGGTCTGTGCAATCATACCCGGTACCGGTAGAACTTCATGATACACATTGTCTCGAGCTCTCTTCGAAAGCCCCCCAGGATGGCGACTGGGACGAGGAGGCTACGCCGAGCTTCGGGCCAAATCTCGTGCCAAAGGGCTCCAACCTCTACCCTGCCCTCTCCTTCAAGGGCCGGGCACAGCTCCTCCGCTTTCTCTTCAGGGGTGGTATGGTTGGGGGCCGTCTAGGAGAATTTAGGGTTTAGGCCCTTGGGGCTTCGACATGTTCTATGCTTTGCCTTAAGAGCATCAGGATATCATGTTCCCACTTCCTGGTTTCTGCATAGCGGAGCCCTGAGCCCGAAACCCACGAGTCTCAGGTTCAACTTTGGGCCGGACTACAAGCACCCTGCCCCCTCCTTCAAGGGCAAGGCTTTCGCGCACTGGCCGGGGATGCCTGATGGCATCATCCGTGCGGACTGCCCCATCATCGGCAACTCCAACAACGTCAACATCTACAAAGAGAGCCTTGGCTCTGGGTCTTCGGGCCTTCTTTGTCCTTCTTTGTGCTTTTTTGGGCTCCAACGCTCGCAAGCATCTCCCGCAAATCTCAAAGTTCCCAAAAGCCGGTACCCCGACGTCGAAGTCTCGAGGATCCAGCTCCATGGGGAGGTGAACCTGAAACGCAACGTGCAGCGGTTCCTTGGCTCGTGAAGCCTTGCTGTCCTCAAACGCTGCCACGCAGCCTCTCTGCTCCGCAGGCTCGTGGCCAACCGCAAACATCTGGAGGTGCGACGCACAGCATTGCTCCAGTGCATAAGAATCACCGGTGCAGCCGTAAACGTAAACCGCAAGCTCCCGAGCCAGCCTTTGAGCACAAGATTTGGAGGTATCCAAGAGTGACCGGTCGTGGGCCGTTCGTGTGGACGGCATGGACGATGCAGATGGTCTCGTGGCCTTAAGTGTTAAGCCGTCTCAAGCTAAAGCCAGAGGTGCAGTTCGTGTTCTGTTGTTGGGATTAGCCCACGCCCACACGCCTCCTGTGACCGCACTGTACCTGTCCATGCCAATCCGGCCCGAGCCCACAATGCGAGAGGCAGACTATGCCAATCCGCTTGCAAATCGTCGGGGCAGGAGTAGTGCGACCTTTCGGGAGAGTGATGACCGAGGCAGCTACTCACGAAGTGGAGCGCGACATGGCAAAGCCATGTACAAGCAACAAGGGGGGCGCTTCGAAATCTCGTTCGACGCCACCTCCGGAAAGTGGAGGCTCACGGCGGATGCCGCTCAGTCTACGACGTAGCCAGAAAGGGAGAGCACTCTCTCGTTCAGGGTTTTGGGGGTTAGGCCTTCGGGTCACGCAGCGCGCACCCATACCTCTTACTAAGAGGGTCGCTTTATCTCGCCTCGCTTCTCGCATCGATCGGCATCGACGCTGGGGGCGAGAGCTTTCCGTCTTTCCTGAAGTCCAGAAAGTCTAGAGAGAGCGAGCGAGGGTGAGGGCTTTTTCTTTTTGCATCCTTCTGAATCCCAGGCCAGTCAGGAGGACAAGTGGATCGCACAAGCGTCTGGAGACGATTCTTTCGAGCTCCTCGGACACAAGGGGCTTCACAAGTGGATTCAAGATCCAGGCTATCAGATTTCGAGGCCGCAGTCATATTTCAACTCGGACCCGACGCGTGATGCACAAATAAGTGAATGCAGGTTGCAGTGTTGGAACTCTCACGTTCAACCACTTCGGAGCCTTTACAATGCGAATCCCAAATACAAGCGACGTTGAAGGGGATCTCGTTCTAAGGCCTTGAAGACCTCAGACGGTCCCACATTCTGCCCCCTGCATGTCTTGGCATTTCGGTGATGCTGCCTTTCCCAAATCTTCCATCTGACCATGAACCTTCAAATGGGAGTTACCGAAAATTAGGCATACCTTATTTGGGGCTCCTTATAATAAGGATCCTACTATTTAGGGTATCGTATTAGGGTTCCCTATTTTCGGAAACTCCCAAATGACTCAACTCACGTCACGAGAACGAAGCTCTTAGGCCGCCTCGCTACGGTTGGCTCGTGCCGCGAGAGCGACAGGGGCGTGTGCGGCCCGGCGGAGAGGTGGTGCTCAGCGTTTAGGGTTCAGGGGTTGGGCGAAGTGGAAAGCTTGTTGTAAAAGGGTTTAGGGGCTGAGGGTGCGAGTCGGGCGCTGGCCGGCACCTCAGGCAGTGCTGAAAGGGGTCATGCAAGGCATTATGTCTTGTGTCTGTGGGTCAGTGTTGTAGCCAGTAGTGCTGCAGATTTGCCTGGCCCTCAGTTTCTTTTCTTCACGTGTACCTGGCAGTCGCAATAGCCCTGGATGCAAAAGGGGTTTAGGGTTTAGGGTTTTGCTGAATTCGCGGGACCCTGGCTTGAAGTCGAAATAATAAGCTGCTGCTCCGCTTAGTTCGAGTTGCTAGAGTGTGAGGGTCATAAAGACTTACCTTTGGTTAGTAGGGAATGGAAGAATGGTAGTAGGGGTTGTTATAGTTAAGTTATACTTGTACCCCGTTCCTCCATTCCCTACTGATGGATAACCAAAGGTAAGAAGACCCACAACCGAGGCCCGTGAAGCTCTTCCGCTCTGTCATGGCCAAGCTGGGCCTCAGCGATGACAAGCAGGATCTCTCGAAACCCTGAAACTCCCGACGCCTGAGGCCCTCAGACCCCAAAGCCGAAAGCCCTAAGCTTGAAGCAGCTATTTGTGGAGTTGAGTATATACAGGGCTGTCCAAGAGTCAGGGCAACGCTGCGCACTCCAACTGCGAAATGGGCTTCTCGAACCCTGAACCGTGTAGAGGAGTTGGCTATGTTCTTGCCTTTTCGGATGTTTGATCGCTGTCAGCTCGCTCCCATCACTTCTGTCTCACTCAACAGACTCCGAACCACATGCCTCGCCTGGATTGTCCGAGTGTGAGCGCCGAAACCGTGCTGAATTCAAAGTATTTGGGAAACCTTTCCTCTTGGTTAACTTGAGGTTCCTCAAACTCAGTGGACCCACCGATGCAGCCTCTCCTTGAGCGTCCTAGTGGCGAAATTCGAACTCCTGTGTTCCCGTCAGCCCGAACCCGAGTCGCAAGACTACGAAATAAAACCATAATACTACTAGTATACTATTTTTGTAGTCCTATGATACTACTATCATACGACCATAATACTATTAGAGAATTGAAGACGTCCAGGACCAGCTGGTGAAGTCTCTGGCCGAAAAGGCGAGCGACGCGTCCGAGGAGGAGGTTTTCCGCGTCGGCGAGAGCAGCTCTGAGAAGCTTTTAGGGCTTTTTGGGGTGTACAGTAGGTTATTTAAGTTTTAAAGCTTTTTTGGGCTCCCGCTCTTGAATAGGCCCCTCGGGTTTAGGGTGTTAAGTTCTAAGGCGCTGCGGTAGTTGCAGCAGTACCAGCAACGAACTCGGCTTGGCACGCGCACATGCACACGAGCCCTCATGCACAGTTGGGACATACGTACCTAAGATTTCAAGTTTTGACGGTGTTGTCGCTCTCCAAATGCCGGTGCGATGGCAGGCACGACCTTCTTGGACGAGTGGACAAAGCTCCAGACTGCGAACCAAGTCCAAGTGACGTCCGAGGAAGCCTGGGCCGCATGCCTCCAGGCGGCTCATGACGAGGTGCTCGCACGACGCTTGACCGAGACCTATTGTAAGGATCCGGCAGGAGTTGTGCTGGTGTGACGTGCGCAACCCAGAACCGAATGGTACCATAGATTCGGTTACAGTGAAGTATCGTCGCTGTGATTCTGGCTTCTGTGGCGGTTGCTGTCGTCGTCGTCGTGGTGGGGGGGTTGTTGTGGCTTGTGGTTGTGGTTGTGGTTGTGGTTGTGGTTGTGGTTGTGGTTGTGGTTGTGGTTGTGGTTGCTGCTGCTGCTGCTGCTGCTGCTGCTGCTGCTGCTGCTGCTGCTGCTGCTCGCGATGATGACTGTCAGAAGGATTGTCGCTGCAGCACGTGGTGGTCGTGGAGACGCCGACACATCCGTATCCCGCCCGTTCACATTCCTGGACGCAGGACTTCGGGGTTCAGGGCTTGCGCTTTCAGTGCCGCAGCAACGTCTTTTTGTGCTTTTCAGGACGTGCACATCGCATCGGCCAGCAAGCTGCGCGTCAACTTCAGCAGCCGTTGCCAAACCAACGACGACTGCGCGTCCCTGCAAGTCCTGGCAGGCCAGCGGAGGAATCGACCAGCCCAATCCTTGAAACCTGTGCGCCTGCCCTGAACAGTGAAGCCAGTAGTCCAAACTGCAAACCACCTGCATGTCCAACGAAGTGTAATTAACGATTCGTCCCTGAGCCGCGACCGTGCTCCAAGTTGCGCCAGGTGGGCTTAGCAAGAGCGCTGCCGGCGTAGGAGCGCGAGCTCATCTGAAGGCGATCACTGGCCCCGATCAGGCACCACGCGGGTTACGGGCATTGTAAGGTCTGGAGGCGGGTCCAGTGTTAAGGCTAAGGGGTTCAGAGGTTTTCTGGGACATTTTTGGGTCGTGAACTCAACCGTATACGGCTTGCACAACAGTTGCAGTGTGATCTCACCCTTCGTAAATTTGGGCTTGGCGAGTTGCATGGCTGCGTGCAGGCCATCAAACTCAAAAACCCCACCGACCCTCCAACAAAGAATCGATGTAAACCGCCGAGCCCCCTAAACCCTAAGCCCTTGTAAAGTAGCAAGCTCAGCGGACTTAGTGCCTGAAGCCATGCCTGCCTTGTGCGAGTGTGTCAGTCGAAACCCTAAACCGAGCTCTAAAGCCGAGACTCTTACCCACCGGCCTCCGCACTGCAGGTGCATGGCACATTGGCAGGGCAAGCGGAGGGCGGGAAGTGGCCTCTTGGCTTGTTGATTTTCTGATACTTTCTGGGTTCTTGTTAGCGGATTTAACAAGTTGAGGTACCATAATACGGAAACCATATTATTTACTGATCCCTCGTATGGTAACTTACATTAAATTTTTTAAGAACCCGGTTTTGGGGGAGCTGTGGCACTTGTAGCAGAGGTCGCGGGCTCGGGTTCATGGTCCTATGCAGACGTATATGGGAGTTTTCGAAGAATAGGGGGGCAACCGGATAACCTGAGTTTGGGGTCCTGATAATAAGAACCCTACTACTGAGGCTATTAAGCATGGGGTCTCCATTTTCGGAAACCCTCATATCAACATCCAAACATCATGATTTCATTGTTCTTTCATTCTACGCAAACTCGATAATCGACCCTGACTGTGTTCATGCATCCAGAACCAGTTTGCAATCTACGGTCCTGTACCCGGGCTTTCTTGCTGTGCTTTAGCCGTCACTTGGCTGTAAGCTTACCATGAATTTAGGGATTGTCGAAGAGGACATTTTGTTAACACGGCTGCACCTTCGGCGATGCGACCTTGCGTCTCCGAAAGCTTTCCTTAATACTAATCCGATCGCTTGTTTGCTGCGTCCGTCTTTCTTGCTGTATGCCGACCTTGTAGCCCAAGGGCCTCGCCTTGATCTGTCCGAGTAAGGGAGGGAAAGCCCCAAGGGTTTGGTTGCGTGGGCGAAGGATCGTCAACATCGACAAGGACGAGTCTGAGATATGCGGCTGCTTCAGCACCTCAGCAGCTCGCAGAGGGGTACTTCGTCAGAGCGACCACAATCGTAACAAAAAAGGATCGCCACGAACGGAAGAACAGTCCTGTCACAAGTAGAACAACCCGAGAAAATGAACTGGCAAGCGCATCAGCTGGACCGTATTCTTCTGCAACCCCAAATAATTTTAGGAGTGGTAGTTGTAGGCTAGACACAGGAAAACTACATTCGCCCAGCCAGAGCAGTGGTACCCGATTGCCAAGAACGCGTCTAGTAAGACTGACAGTGAGGTGAATCGTGATGCCAGAATCAATTCTAGGAGGACAGCGCCAGAAACAATGCAATAATATGCAATACGAACAAGGTTAGCACTTGATCTATCACGGCCAACTGCACTGCTCATCTCTGAAACGAGGTCTTCTCTCAGCAGTGCCGAGGGGAGCGATATGAAAGGGCTTTGGTGTTTGGGACTTGAAACAGAACTCTCGAGGCTGGAGAGTTCATTTCCGAAAGGTCGACGCTGGAGAGTGCAGTTCTGAAGGGGCCCAAGGCAAAACCAAGTTGCACTGCCCTTTTTGCTTAGGGGTTGGTATTACAGCGGTCATGTATGCACCCCACACACCAGAACAACCCTTAACTGCTGTCAGCTAACCATAGCAAAGATAGTGATAGATTACACTCAAGACGAAAGTAAGGAATTGCCACTGTAGCAGAAGAAAATTAAAGCAAGTTTCATTGCAAGACTTAGATTGCTTCTTGTTTTTTGCAGTATTGCTAGGAGAGAAAGCTTGAGCCCAGGGGAGTGGCTGGACTCCAACCAATCGCCTGGCCGAAGCTGCACGGCGGTGTGTGCCATGGAGGCCAAGGTCGTGAAGATCAAGCAGCTGGGGGGCAAGACGGGGATGGAGGTGATGGAGGGCTTGGGAGGTTTCATGGAGGGTTTGGGAGCTGGATGGAAGGTTTAGAAATTTAACGGGGTTGGGGCCTTCGCGAGGGCCACCCAGATGGGCATCTAATCTGTTCTGTCGCGAGTTGGATTCGGTGCTAAACCACTGTCGCAGGTTTCGTAGTTGCAGGCAGCACCTGGAACGGTCCTGGGGGATTTTTTCTCGAAGAGGCTGTTGTTGCTTTTTCCAGGGTGTCACAAAAGACCACAGCTTGGACCCCCTTGCCACATGATGCTTCGGGTTCGTGCCGGTACCTTTCTGCTTGTGTGTATGTCTATAGGGAGCAACACCTGCTAGCTGCGCTCCATTTCAGATGTCTTGACCGCCGTATGGAAAGCTGCTCAGGTACAGCAGCGGCCAGAAGATCGGAGATGAGATTGCGGGCTTCACTTTCAATGAGGCTAGCAAGTATCACGTTGCACTCGTCCCTCTAGCGTACGCGGGTTCTCTAGCCTACACGTGCAACCGGGACACTGACCGCTACTTACAGCGATTTCAATTAGTGCCCGCGCAGGCGTGCCCGATGACGCCCTTCAGCGTGGCAGGCTTCTCGAAGCCAGGCAGCGGATCGAATCTCTCGTGCTGACCGGCACAGATCGAAACATACCTATCGCAAAGCTCGTGTCGTGCAATACTGCCGCTGCCTTAAGTGTCTCCTAGCTATTCCATGTGAACAACATCCGGCCGCTTCGTGCAAGCCGTTCCGTCAGGCGGGCCTGCCCAGCTCAAGGGTGTCTTCGCGGGCTGGTTCGTGGATGTCATCGCGCTGATCAAGTTCCGTGTCCCTGTGCAGTCGCTTTCAAGTAGCGAGGAGTCATCGATCCAACTGCCCAAGTTTAGCCAGATTTTGGCCAGACCGACTACATGTCCGGGCTGCCCTAGCTACTGAGTTCACTCACTTCGTTTTGATCTTGCTGTGCAATGCTTCTTTCTCCGCAAGCAGGGGATGCCCCAAATGGACTTGAGTGGTTGCTCATCCAACGTTGCAAAGGCACAGGCCCTTGCTGCACTCAGGCTCAAGAAGTTCAAGTCACTGGAGGGGGAGGGCTTCGGTGAAGCCCCGAAGAATCTCGCAGAGATCGCTGCGAACATAGAAGGCTTCAAGAAGCGCATGAACGCTCTGCTTGAAGTCTCCGACATGATTCCCGGCTGTAAAACTTGGAGGGTGGGAGAAGAGGGGATTCTGTCAGGTATGTCCGAAATTGCGGCGCATGTTTCTCCCAGCTCCAGGGAGCCCCGCCCATGCCTCAGAAACGTGACGTTCTACAACGGCCTTGACTTCCAGCTCCTTCCTGTTTGTGCTGCTGACTACAAGGCCCAAGGCTTCTGTGTTGTGGGCTAGTGGCTAGTGGTGCTCAGACGAGGATTCTGAAAAAGAGGGTCTGTTATTGCGCGGTCCTTACACCGGCATCCTTATGTTTGGAGCCGTTATCTGCAAGCCTTGTGCTTGTGACTTGGGAAATTTCGGTGCGGGATACCATCACCTAGATCCTGATTCCCTGCAGTCATCGCAGGACCCGATCAGCGACGAGATCAGCGGTTTCAACTCGACGGGCAGGGGCCTCGGACCATTGCAGGGGCCATGGCTCAATGTCCGCCCTGGCCGAGGAAACAAGGTTATAGACGTGTTATGTTGTGTTTTGTTGTGTTGGGATGTGGACGGTTGGGCAATGGCACGACACACAGCTCCAGAGTACGCAATCTGCATCGTTCCCTATTTGTTGCTGAGCGTTGGTCTTGACAAGTGGCACCCTCTTCCTTTTCGAGCCAAGGTGGCGTGCTGAAGATTGACGGATTTTGCGACACTGGCGAGGGTCCTGCACAAAGTGCTGGGGTACGCTCCGGCTGGCACGTCAGCCTGTACGAGAGTCTCAGCAAGCAGTGGCCTGTGAGTGATAAGACTGTCGGCCGAGTCGGGTCCACTTTATATATATATATATATATATATATCTGTTATATATACAATATATGTAAGTATGAATGTAGACAATATAGATATAAGTATACATAGAAGTATACATAGAAGTATACATGATCAAAAACACAAATACACAAATAAACATAAACACAACTATCAACATTAACAAATAAATAAATATCTATCTATCTATCTATCTATCTATCTATATTTTTATATCTATATATCTATATATCTATATATATATATATATATATATATATGCATATATATATATATATAAATATAATATCAAGGATAGCATGCAACAGACATCGTCTCGCGCGACTCGCACTTATGCTGCCCGTGGCTTTTTCTCGGGAAGCTTCTGTAGTGGAGGTCAAACATGAGCCGTTGAAGTCTCTCGAATTGCCATTCTTGGACCATTCGTGAGTGTTCCTCGCGTCGTACTGCGCATGGAGCGATTTATTCCGAGTGGGCCAGTTTGACGTGTGAGCACCTTACAATGTGTACAAACTTAGCCGAATACAGGCACGACCGGGAAGCCTCCCAGCCACAACATAACATTGAGTTTCGAGAGCGGCCGGAACGCTAAATGCAGGCCGGAGACATGGATTCATTCAGGAAGTGTATCAGGTGGACTGCAGTACTCTCTGACTAAACATTGGCCGATGCTTCCGATTCTCGAATATCCCATTCCACTCACCCCAAGCCCCAAGCTAGTTAGACAGCTAGACCTTGGGTACTGCCCCCACTCAGTCACAGTTGAATAGTACTCATAAAGAGGGCCGTACCCAAGTTAGACCATTCAGGCATGCACCTTGCAGTATGCCCGACCCTGGGACTGGGCGACCTCTACCCTGAAGGCTCACCTGCTGTTGTGAACTATTGGCATCTACGTTTGCTCCGTGGAAGCCTAACGCGACCTCCCAGACAAAGGCCCAGAAGCCCTGAAAGCCGAATATTGTGGCCTCAATAGTTACCTATAGTATTTTGGGGTTCCTTAATTTATTTATAATATATAATGGGCCCCAAAACCCCTATTCTAAGTATCAAGGCCCCGATATTAACAGGAGGATAGGCTGCGAGTTCAAGGACCTTCAACCTGGAGGAGAACAAGGAAGCACTTGGGGATCTCACGCCGCAGCAGGCGAGATCTCCAGGGGGCTCCGGTCAGATTTTACTCTTTGCGTGCGGCAGCAGGAGCTCGTAGAGGCTGGCATGGATGTTTGTTTCCATTGTGACACTCGTAGCAGGCATTGGAAGACCCGGAGCTTCTGCGCCAACTCTCTGGCATCAAGCTGATGTTAGAAGCTCGGCTCTTGGGAACTCCCTGCTGCCTTGCGGCTAGCTGCTAGCTGGGCTGCTGTAGGCTTTTCGGACTAGGGCCTCGTCTCGTGCCCTCCAACCCACAGCCAAGGAGCCGGCGAACGCCGAGCCCGAGGAGCTGTTCACAGGATACGGCGACGATGACTGGACAGCCAGGGTTCAGAGCATGTGTCCTTCTTGGGGCCTTGAGTGCGCGCGTGCAGCCCTGGATGCCCTGGTCTGCCCTGATGCGTGAGCGTGGCCAGAGTGGCCAGGACGCCATTTATCGTCCCGATCAACAACGCGCAATTCGTTTTTTCGACTGATGGAGATGGAAGCAGCTTGCCTTTGCAAGGAGAATCGGGGAAGGCTCTTGTGCCGCAGCGGCAGCAGCAGCTGGCTGAAGATTCTCATCACAGGGGCTGCTGTCATTTGCTGTCGTTGATGCGGCTCAGCATCTAAACAAAGATAGGAGCCGGTCCGCGGCAGCAAAGGTCACTACACGAGTAGGTTTCTAGAGCGTGTGAAGCAGTGGCACGATGATTGCGGGCACTGGGTGGCACCATGTATGCGACTCTGGTTCATGCCGTGCCGGTGCGACGGGACGAATGAGACAGATGACAGCCCCATTGTAGTGAAAATGGCTTCATTTTCTTGCAGCAGCTCCGCACATGAAATTGTTGGCAGCAGCAGCAGGTCGAACTAGGGGTTTTGAGCTGGAAGGGGCTGTCAGAGCTTCTGTGATGACGTTCTCTGCCTCGTCAGCAGCCCGACTTCGTCACAAATCTTGCTCTGCTACGCCCAACTGAGGCGATGACCCGGACATGCGGTGGGGAGTGTTCGCAGCAGCTTGCCTGTACATGTGCTTCGTGCGGGTGATGCTTCACGTTGTGGTCCCACGGCCACAGACCCGTGTGACAGACTGGCAGATGCTCGGAGTTTGTCTGCAAAGCTGTGATGATACCCATACCCGGCCTCAGCATGAAACTTTGGCGACAATGACCGTGCCAGCCTCGACCGACGTGACCAGTTCTAGGTCGTGACTGATGCTGACAAGCCGGAGCCAGCGGAAAGCAAGATCGAGGACACGAATAGCTGAAAAGTGTGCTGTGTCTCCTCACGAGCACCATCATCGAAGTTCGTTGCATACCTTGGAATCGCTGGTGGCCTGATTAATAGAGGGTGTCTGTCCGCGTTTTCTGGCCTCAAGAATCGTGACATTGGCGTCGAGACCTATTCGGCCCTTCGAACTTTGAAGCCCAGATTGGCACTTTACTATCGTTCCGACGCTTCGGAACGGTTCCGGGCGGTTTGGGGCTGTTTCTGAACAGGGTTGTAACAGTTCTTGAGGCTTGCCTGATGGTTCCAGAGCCTCTGTTGGCGCTCACGCACAAACAACCTGGAGGGCATTTCAATGAATACCCGTCTACCGAATGACTGGCCATTAGTAGAATTCTTGTCACAATGACATCTTTTTGTCGCTGTTGTGTTTTTCATAGCATGGCGTCGAGCGCAGAAAAAAATTGAAGAAAGTATAACCAGCCCAATGTGTCTTCCAGGTCCAGATGCCTCGACAAGCCGGCTTTAGGATGTTTTCTTGGATTTAGGTCGGGTCTTCGTCGAGCTTCGCAGGCCCAGAGATGGCTTGTGGGTCAGATTCCATTCTCCACCGCAGGGGTCTTGCAGCTGCCACTTCGCAGCCCTGGTTTGGCACGGCATTTCGGCCAGAGACTTTCAGTGAACGCATGATCCGCTTGACTATGCTATATAATACTATAGTACAATAAAGTATATGATAAAATAATATATTATACCACATTACTACATTGTAGAATATTTAATGTGTTACATAATGTTAGATTGTGTTATGTGTTATTATATTCCTGTCCATGGACCATGACCTTGAGCCGCGCAGGAGCTCGTCGAAGCCTACACCAAGGCCTCGGCGCGGATCATCGGCAGCAACCTGGCACAGGTCTCCATCGAGCCTGAGGACCTCTGCCATTAGCCGGGTTCTTGTATGTTCTTGTTAAGTGGATTAGTTTAAGTTGCCATGGTAATAATTACCTTACTGTGGTAACCTGTATTAAACTTCAACAAGAATCCAGTTAGGAGCTTAGGGGTTGCAGACTTGGGGGCGTAAGTCGGCTTTCAGGCCGTGTTTCCTAGTGCCTTCCTCAAGCTTTCCGGCACCTCATCTTCGCGAGGCCACGATTCAATAGCTTGGTCATAGAAGTCCGAACATTACAGCATAAGCCCCCATATGCTGCAAACCGCCTCATCGTCATACGCTTGAAGAGAGAGATGGGCAGAAACATGCAGAAACTCGAAGGCCTTGTGACAGACCCTGATTTTTTCACAGCCCTATGCATGAACAGGCGATCCCCGAACGCGAAACCCTGAAAGCTGCGAGGACTGGGACGAGGATCGGCTGAAGGCACTCTGTGCACGCCACGGCTGGGAGTTCGAGTGGATGACGGAGGTGCCTTGTAAGTGCAGCGAAATTTCCAGAGCAGTTAACACACAACCAATATGACAGCAGGCTGTTATCAAGAAGAAGATAAGTGAGGAAGAAGCCAGGCCGGTATTCACCAGAACCGCTTGACACGAACTTCTACGGACACGCGAAGAACAGTAGAGCTTCGCTTCTGGGGCAATTAGCCGAACACATGTCCACTTGGGCGCAATATCGATTTACAGACCATGGTATCCACGCACTGAATCGCCACGCATACAACACTCACGGGAACAAAAGCATTTGCTCTTGGATCTGTGCGGTGGTTGCTGTTTGATTGTGGAGGCTGGTGTTTCGGATGTGAGCTTAGGGACATCATCGGCATGTCGTGAGAACTGTTCAATGTGGGATCGCCTGAAGAAAAAGAACGGCCCATGGTTGGTAAGCAAGCCCGTGAAAAGAGGCTTGAACATGAATCAAGATAGCCACCACCTTGGGCGCAATGCAGCTCAAAATATTCATGGGAAAAACTGACCCCAAGCATTTTAGGTCCTCCGACCTAGTCGTTCGCTCTTTGCCTGTAGACCATAAGACTGCTTCACCTCACCTGGCTTCTCCGAGACCCGGCATCGTGCCCCTCGTGTGAAACCCCTTGAGGGCCTGAATCGTCCAAGCAAGTGTTCAACATGGCTCGGGTGCCTCGAAGGACGGCGAGAGGCGGCGCCGGATTGAGGGCGCGGAGCGAGCAAGGCACGCAAGATAGGAGCCGCAGGGTCGTTGCCTTGACAAGCTTGTCTTGCTCGTATTGCTTCACTAGTAACAGCCCGTGCTGCACACATGGCTGCCGTCTTCGCTGTGTTAGCGGCATTGGCAGTGGCAAGCATAACTGGGAGTGGTTGGTCGCACTGCAATGCAATGAGTATTTCGAGCGTGATGCTTATGATAGTTCCTGAAATGTGGCCAGTCATCGTGTGCTTCTTCGTGTCAGAACTGCTGTTTGCCATGGTGCGTGGCACTTTCTTTCATTAATCTCCTTGCCAAAGTCCCTTGTTACTTGCTATCACTGCTAACCCATTAGAACACCATCATAGATCTGCACAGTAGTGACTTGTGTCTCACCGCTCAGAACAGTAAGAACCCCTTGCAGTCATCAACCCAAGTCCCTTGCTGTCTTTCGAGACCACAACTTGAGCTTAAACTGTAGTGCGACACGAACTGAGAAATCTCGTCTGGCGGAGTCCGAATTGCGAGAGCGTAAACCCCAAGTCCTGGAAATTCGTAGATGCCAGGCAAGCGGTGACTGTGCCCGAGAAAGCCAAGGCCGCTGAGGTCGAGAAGGCGCGAAATTGGCTTGTTTCCGAACGTAAAGAAGCCCAAAACCACATAAGTTACGGGAGTCCAAACCAATGTGGGTACCCCAAATGAGAGTCAGTGAGCTGAAAGGTGTCTTAGCTCGTCAGACCCTGCCAGGCTTGTTCGAGTGCGAGTTTCGATAGACCCTGGGGCGGATCGCCCTTACCTCTTACATGGTCAGTCCTTGCCTGGCACTTGCGGGTGCGATTGTCGTACAAACCCTAAACCCTGCTTGCGATGCACTGCTGCTTAGCAATTACTGCATTCTTACTAGCGTAACAGGAGCCCGGAAACCTGGAGGTCGGAGTCCCAGCCCACACCCCTAGTCTTTCGAGTGCGCAAACCCCGAAACCCTACACCCATGAACTCTGCTTGCACAAACCCTTCACGTCTGAACCCTTCTCTTGCCTAGTCGTAAAAGCTGCAACCCTGCAATGCGAGCAACCTCAAGCCCTGTTGAATTGACAGAGATGTGAGTCGTAGTGGCAACGTGCCGTAGTCCCTCAATTTGGCCCTGCTAGGCGGGTCACGTACTAGTGAGCGGGAGGCAAAAAACCACGCCCTGAACCGATGCCGGACGCAAGACACATGCCTGGACCACGAAAGGCAACGGCTTGGTGGCGCCTAGACTCGGTGGCCCGGGCTTTCTCCTTCAGCGAGCAGCGTCAGCTGAATCTTGGCTACATAGCCGTTTCGGGAGGGGCGGGCGACCATGGTGAACAGAGCCCTTGTTGAGGATCTTGGTAGAATCGGGTGCTATGATCTGTAGTTTACTTGTGTCTGTATTGAGATCACTCATTTGGATTATTTTGGACTATAGGCGCAGAAGAAGGTTTAGGGTTTGCCACCCGTCATGTCCTTTTCGGGGTTTGGGTTTTCAACTTCTTTTGGATCCCATCATCCAGGTAAGCGTGTAGGACCTGTCGCTCCATCATTTCCTGCTTTTACAACCGGTCATGCACAGGGCTTGCTGCTCATCATCTGTTTTTGGGGTATTGGTTGGGCCAAACCATGAAAAGGTTCTGGCTTTGCCGCACATCATCTCCTCTTAAGTTGTTATGTGGCATCCGGAGTGTTGCGAAGAACTCGCACCTGTTCCGGGTTTGACACCAGGCTTACCACCCATCACACGGGCTTGTGTTGCCACCCATCACCTCTCATCAGGGCATCGGTTTAGATGCTAGCTAACACGTTCACACGAAATCAAAGCGCACACAGATGCACATGCGCCGACATGACGGTTTGCCAGTGCAGACAGTAGATAGTGCGCATGCATGCATGCATGCACATCTGCGTATCAGCACTCATGCACGCCTTGGAAGGCATTGGCCATGTATCGATCGCTGTACATGCATACAGAATTAAGAGTCCAGAGGTCCTCCGGAAAAGCCGAGCCACGCTTCGTAAGCCAGGCCAAGCCAAGCAACACCCCGTCCAACACAAAGCTCTGTTGAAGAAGATCGTAGCAGAGAGGGACAGCGAGGACTCCTGAAACAAAAGATTGCAGGACTTCTGAGCTGCATCATGTTCTATTTGTGCCGTTTTTCGCCAAGGAAGCGCAAAATTCAGCCACCTCCGCAGATCAAAGCATAGACGCTCGGCACCTGTTGATGATCTTGCAATCAGCTCAAAGCAATGCAGCAGCAGCTGCAGATGTTTTTGTTTTGTGGTTTAGCAGCTCAAGTTCAACAGTCCTCAATTGCTCTCTGGTGATGCATCACCTCCCCGCACCACCGCATATACATGCAGTCACGCATGTGCATGCAGCTTCTTTGTGCGTGTGAGCCGAGGGGCGACTTCTGGACGGCCCATGAATGTTTCCACCTGGGGGTGGAGAATGAGAGAGAGGTCGATTTTAAGTTCGCATAGATCGGTGCCTCCACACATATGTGTGTAGAAATCGAAGCGTGAATCCGCCAAGCAGATGGAGCTGCTGCTGCTGCTGCTACTACTACTACTACTACCACCACCGCGCTACTGCTATTACTAGTCTGTACACAGGCAATGCGAGGGTGGGAGGACGTATGGACGGCACATGCACAACTTGCGACCATAGGCCGGCCATAGATAGATTGGGCCTTCAGAGCTGTGGAGGGGCTACCGCACCATGTTTTCACATGCAAGCTGCCCTGCGAATGACACGAGTTAGCTGGCAGCGCAACTGATGCGTCGGTACAGTGAAGGCAGCCGGACTTGCCCGCTGTGAGATCCGACAGAAGTCTTGGAAGGCACTCCGCTCGAAGAGAATTGTCCCCCGATAATCCTGCAATGAAGAATGCCCTGGGTTATGCAAGTCTTGCGAAGGGATCCAGGGGTCTCCGTTGTGTCCGTGACGGAAGAGCGGAGTACCAAGTCGTCGAAGCAGACAGCTGATGAGGAACTGCAGCGGCCCTACGCGCAAAAGTGTATTGGCACAGGTCCTTCGAGTTCGATCGTAGCTGTTGTGCACGCGGCATGCGGGGATAGCATCTTTCGACGATCCGTTGCTAAGAACAGGTCCTTCTCTGGTGGCCAATCACGGTTTGCGTGGTCACCTTTCGTGGATGCTGACGTATGCTGCAGCTGTGTGAGACGCCGAATGCTACTTACACCAACGGAGATGGTCTCGCCACGCCATCGCAGGACAGGTCAGGTCCAGACTGGCTATCGGACGGGTGTGAGTGTGGAGCCATTCGCTAAGTGATTGTCAGCCTCACAATTCGCCTGACGCAGAGAGGAAGCTCGCTAATAAGCACATCTCCGCCAGCATTTTGAGTTTGAAGCTTCTGTCAACAGCCCGAACAATATCACTAAACTAGCACGTCACCGGAACCTGCACAACACGGATGTCCGAGCTGCCATTTCTTCCACGGATTGATGCCCAGCGCCAGGAATGGCACCAAGCCTTAGACTCCTTAGACTCCTCGACATGGGCGTGGGAACCAGCGCTGGGCTTCGTTGAAGAGTGGATGAAAACTGGAGCTCTCCTTGGACGAACCTTTTTGAGTCTCTGCCCCCATGTGCGAGATTGTTCCGTTACTTCTGCGATGCTCCAGTTCTTCTGCAAGGCGCCTATGTGTTTTCGGCGCTTTCTCTTCAGTTTTGATCCTGAGTGTGGTGGGTCCGACTGCCACACCGCCGTCACACCGCCAATGCTGGATTTCGCAGATCCCTGACCTGAGGGCAGTTGACCTTGCTGCACGGTCTACCTGCCCTCACGGCATCCCTCACGGCATCCCTCTGGGGATACGAGCCCCACAACTCGAGTTCCTGGCATCCCAGAAGCTTTGAAGCTCAGATCCGTCCTTCATCCCCAAGTCCTGGGCCTTGAAGCAGTCTGGGCTCAGACGGTGCAGACAAAAAGACAAGCAACTGAGACCAGAATTCGCACCCCAGAAAAAATCTATCGAGTCCTAAATTCTCTGACCTTCGCGGAACTTCGTTGATCTTGCTGGCCTCCTGTTCTTGTGTGGTCGGCAAGCATGATATTAAGTTGTGTTTGCAAGCATTGACACCAAGCGGAGAGAGAGAGAGAGAGAGAGAGAGAGAACTAGAGAGGTCGCAAGCAAGAGGATCGACCGGCAGAAAGAAGGCGGGGGGAGAAGTAACTGCTCAGTTCGTTTCAGTGCATGCACCTTCTCGAGGGCCAGGCCGTCTTAAATGCGTGCGCATGCGTAGTCCACGATTGGTTCCTCAGCACTACCTTTTTCCAAAAACCGAAAGATCCGAATTGCTACACTTTGGTTTGTCAAAGCCCCAGCCTTTTCAACATAAGCTCAGCCTCAGGCTTCAGCTCGTTGAACCTTGAGCCCTACCCCCAGACGCTAACCCCCAATACACTGCTCTTACCTAGGACTAGGAAGGCCTTGAGGCACTCCATGGCCAGTCTGCGTGATGACGAAGCGCCCGACGACGGCCTGGACGCACCGTTGCTGGAGCGCCCCTCTTTCCGGCGCCTCAGCTCCACGCAGACCCCAGGGCTTTCATGGGAGGATGGCCCTTGGGGCTTCCTAGGGCCGCATAGCGGTTGAGCTGCTGCCCCCCGCGATTTGACACTCATGAAGCTTTTTCTTGAAGGGAGTCCGTGAGAATCGACCGAGGCATGTGTCCGGCCTCAGACGACAAGACATCAACAACCAAACAAAGTCAAGCAAACACTAAGGGCAACAGCTGGGGGTGGGTGGGTTAAGAGGGAGGGAAACAGCATAGAACTAAACCGGAGATGGACATCCAGTGAACATGCGAAAACCCTGCGCAGCAAAAACAAAAGCACGAATCCGAAACATGCCAGCCGAAAACAGAGGCACGTTACAACTCGAGGAGGGTATGAAACGCGCATCGCATACCAAGCGAGAAGCATCGACACCAAACAGCAACAGGGGCCTGGTCGATAACAAAAGCAAAGAAAGTATCTCCAGTAAGAATCATGCTCATGCACCCGACACCCTTTAAGCCTTACAGACCCAAGGTTGTGGTCTCTTTGTATTTCTCCCTCTCTGTGTACCCTTCCCTCTGGCTCTCGCTGTGTCTTCCATGTGGACATGCGCACGTATGTATGTGTGCAATCTGATGTGACTCACCTGTTTCCGAAAACCAAGCCAGTTCAGAACTTGTGCGGTTACAGTATGCGTGGTACCAGTAATTCCTCAACCCACTCACTCCCAAGAGTTTGAACGGAGTAAACAGCACGAAAAGGATCAACAGAGAATACTTGGAGGTTCATGGGTAGTTATATGTAGGGTTATAAGTAGGGTAGGTATACTTATAACACATATTCAGGGACTTATAACCCCACTTATAACTACGCCTGAACCTCCAAGTACATCAGATCTTTCCAAAGAGGCGCTCGGAGAAGCAGCTCTTCGGTTCCCAAAGACGGGGCACGCGGACGAGCGCGGCTCGGAATCTACTTGGAGGTTCATGGGTAGTTAAACCCCACTTATAAGTCCCCTAACATGGGTTATAAGTATAGTCACCCTATGCATAACCCCACTTACAACTAGCCATGAACCTCCAAGCAGGGGCTTTATTAAGTGGAGTCGGCTTTTTAGATAAAATGGGTGCATGAGTGAAGGGCCTGTGCCAGTTCAAGAAGGCTTTCAGAGCCTTGTTACCTGGAGGGGGGTTCTTGCCATGGTGGCTTCATCGTGTGACTTCCGTTCTTTCATCTTTGGATTTTTTTGAAATCCCATCTTCTCAACCCGTCTACCCCAAACACCCTGAACAGCCCTAGTGGTTGAAAGGTCTCCTTTCGTAGTCCTCAGGTGGTCGGCCGTTTCGGCCGTGTGGCCGCGGAGTTTTTCTCTCCTCCCGTCCACCGTGCGCACAGCCGCGATTCTGAGAGCTCCTCGGACGTCAGTCTACTGAAATTTTTGTACATGATTACATATTATAGTGTATTGTAGTACACTATAGTATATTATGGTATTGTGGGGAATCATCGGATAGGTTTTCGATAATTCGGGGCTGAAGCATCCTCATGCCACGTTTGTGATCGATGGTTCCAGGCAGGCCCCGGGGGAAATTCCTGGCTTCGATTGATGTCGTTGCAAGTAGGACTAAGTAGCAGCCTTCCTCTTTCGAAGGGCCGAGTCATGCTGAGGCTGCGAAGCTCAAGCTGAGTGTGCTTGAAAGTAGTGTTCCGGACCCTGCGGCTGCTCATGGACTCATAGATCTCTCAACTTTGAACATATCTCCCTGCTACGTGTGCTCGGCCATGCAGGAGGCAAAAAGAAGTTCGGGGCAAGGCCCTTCGA